ATAGTACAAAAATATAAACAAGTATAAATACAAGCGGCAGCAATCGTTGCGAAGAACTGAGGTATTTCGACTATTTATTTGGCTATCGCGTCACAGCTAAGCCCGTGAAATTTAAAGTTAGCTCGCAAACGACTTCGAATCTCTCAGCGTAGTTGCACACATCTCGATGTACAGAGATCGGCGGCGAAAAGGACAGAAAGAGAGAGAGAGAGAGAGAGAGAGAGAGAGAGAGAGAGAGAGAGAGAGAGAGAGAGATGCGACGTGAGTAAAGTAAACTCAGAACAGCTCTTATCTTTGCGTGAAAATACGACGAGGACATACCTTGGACAAATGACCTTTGAAATTAGATGAAACATCCGGAACTCCTCTTACTACTTTCTCGCACGTAACGCAAGTAGCCGACACAGATGTCTTGCTGCATCGTTTTACGTTACGAAAAAATTTTTCGTTGAACCATGCGTGTTGTCCGAAATTTTCTGCAGTATCTTCAGCACTAGTCGAGGAAGGATCGTCCACCAAAGTATTTTGCAACTCTGTAGAAGTCGTAATATCTTCGATATCGATGGCCATCGAAGTCCATGAACGCTGTCAGATTCGAACAAACAGTGGTCAATAATACACTCGGCAACAAAATTATCGCAACAAAAAAATTCATCGAAATTTTGTCGATTTTCAAATGCTTCTATCTTGGGCTAGATTTATCGTATCGACACGCTTTTTTTTTAATTTCTTGAAAATTTTGTCCTCTTTAAATCCATATAAATTAAAATAAGATTTGAGTTAATGTTGAGTTACCAGTAGTATTTGAGCGTGACCCTAAAAATTACTGAAAAAAAAATGTCTGTTTGAACGTGTACCAGTACCACAGTGATTTTTTTATCGAAATCTAACATACACCATCGCAAAGTGCTCTTTTTAACGAGTAATTTAAAAAAAAAAGACCTCTCTACGATTTTTTTAACGCCCTGTAGGTCGATTTGAAGATACCATTTAAAGTACGTAAAATCCCCCGTTTAGCTGAAATCAAGACGATTTTCTGGGCATTTTGCGTACATAATCCGTACCTTCAAATCGACCTACAGGGCGTTAAAAAAATCGTAGAGAGGTCTTTTTTTTTTTTAAATTACTCGTTAAAAAGAGCACTTTGCGATGGTGTATGTTAGATTTCGATAAAAAAATCACTGTGGTACTGGTACACGTTCAAACAGTCATTTTCTTTCAGTAATTTTTAGGGTCACGCTCAAATACTACTGGTAACTCAACATTAACTCAAATCTTATCTTAATTTATATGGATTTAAAGAGGACAAAATTTCCAAGAAATTAAAAAAAAAGCGTGTCGATACGATAAATCTAGCCCAAGATAGAAGCATTTGAAAATTGACAAAATTTCGATGAATTTTTTTGTTGCAATAATTTTGTTGCCGAGTGTATATACTGCAGTATGTATTAACATGTTTTGCAACGATGACATGCTTCGCGCACTCACGTAGCACTGTGATGGTTAATACATACCTGAATTCATCTTTCAAAATTGTTCCTCCTCTTATCGCTCAAAAACCTCGTAATCACTTAAACACTATTTTAATAAATAATAACTTTGCACCATGAAAAAACCACTCATAATATTTGAAAAATCACTTGTACCTACACAGGCGTAGCCTGAACTGCAGGATTATTACTGCGGGCGCGTAAAGGTAAAAATTAAAATAAAAACTAAGCCCACGGTGGAAGAAGGGCAGGTCCCAATAGGTGGTGACCTATCAATTTAGAAAAAAATTAGTGAATAATTAACATCTCTTGTACACCAAATAACGATGATATCGGCAAAGGTCTCGGTAGCTCAGATGGTAGAGCACTTGCCGGCTATAGGCGAGATGCCGCCGGTTCGAGCCCGGCCTGTACCCATATTTTTCGTTCGGTGTACAATAATTAAAAAACTAATTAATATTACGATTGAACATGGAAAAATCATCTTTCAGATGTTCCGTTTCAATCAGATATAATAAAAATAACTTCCCGCGAGCTTTAAAAAAAGAGAATACGAATTCGTTTCTAACAATCGCGAAAAGTTAAATAATTAATAATCCTGCAGTTCAGGCTACGCCTGTGTAGGTACAAATGGTAAGTCGTACAGCGTCCACTACTGAAATAATCTCAATAAATTCAAATTTCGGGCGCGTAAAGGTAAAAATTAAAATGTTATAGCCTTAATTACCTTGCAATATTGATAATTCAAAAGATATGAAGCAATATAATTTATAAGGTATTTTAAATGCTATTGCGCCTTCTTTGGCTCTAATTACTTCAACTCTACGGACTAATTCTCGATTAGATTTATATATTTCTCCTATAGAAAAAACGAGATGAATGATAATATCGATACATGGGCTCAAAAAAAAAAATTTTTTTAATAGTTCAAAATTTAAAAATGTTTTAAATAATAACATAGAGTACGTAAATCCTTTTTCAACCGCTGATCATACTTTGTCACTAGCTGCTGAAGATGTAACAAATGCATGTAAGGTAGTCACGTAAGCAAAAAGTTAGTACTATAACGCACGGCGAAAAACTAAAAAAAAATACAAATTAAACATATTTCGTAAGAGTAAATTATAAATGTCAATACTATCTATAATATTATATATTATACAGGGTGCGGCAAAAGTATGGATACACCTGGAAATTTCGCGGAATGAGCGTAGGAAAAAAATCAAAAACCTCCAATCCGACTTATTTTTTGACGAGGAAGCTAATGGTGACTTTGAATTTGACCTTGAATATAACCTTCAAGCTCCAGCGACCCATAAATCAATTTTTCAAATAGAAACCCCCATTTTTTATTGCAGATTTGAAAAAGCCGAAAAATTTTACGTTGAACTATGTATTATGTTTTTTTTAAGGTCATATTAAGGGTGTTACGGACTCAAATAAAACCCCGATTTAATTTAAAATTAAGTTCGAGTAAGGGCTTTTTTTCTAATTTTACCGACTTCAAAAGAAGTCACAAGGGTAGGTTCCGACGACAATGGGTGTTGCGTCACGCGCAATTCACCACAGAGTTGTCCTCTCTGCGTGCTCCTGCTACCCATAAGTCAGTGTATGGCCACCGTCCTGCTGACAGGTTTTCGTCCGCCAATTTAGGCAGCGTGCGCTCGACTTGTCTCTCGCATCATCGATCACGTCTTTCTCAGATTCGGCGCGTATCGAAAAAAGGCGCCGATTTGCATATCAATAGACTCGTATTTTACGGTATCTCTTTCGACAGTAAGAAAATCTAGTATAAAATAAGGAAGGAGTACCGTCGGACTCTGTATCGGACGACTACTTCCTTACACAGTTCATTTTCGCGACAGATCATCCTTGAAAAAATTAAAATTTGTAGAATGACAGGATAAGTAACATGTAATGCTCAGAAAAAAAATTGTGAGGTAAAAAAACACTTCTTTATTACAGAGTAATAATAAACACGCAAGATTCATTTAAAATACAAGGTGAGCCGTTGGTTTCTTAATTTTGATTTGCAAGTATTTGTTTTTGTTGATTTTCGATTATTGAGATCACTGAAATAATCTCTTTTCTCTCATTGTAAAGTGTTTTATCATAAGCATGAATACTCGTTTTTATGAGAATAGCATAATGTTTTTTTTGCACTTGAAGACTAAACATTTTTTTTTATTGTTTCTTCTAAGCAGCAATGTAAAAGAAAAATACCTAATTTTGGTAATAATTTTATATAAAAATGAGTCGGATCTCATCGATTGAGTAAGAGTACCGTTACTTTAGATCAACAACCAAACAAAAAAGTGGTTCTTTTTGGAAGATGAGGAAACTGCGTTCCTTTGCATCGTTATAATTTCCATCGATATAAATATTTTCCAGAAAGAGTTCTTTTGATTTTAGTGAGATATAGCGAGAGAAAGAAGAAAAAACGTGGTTTTCGTGTACGATGCGCCGGTCGGGTATACAACAACCACGAAAAAATCACGTTTGATCTTCTTTCTCTCGCTATGTCTCGCTAAAATTAAAAATTCCCTCTGTGGAAAATTTCCATAATAATCAAAAATTTCCTGATCTTTTGATCTTGAATTTCGAACGGTCTTAAAACTGAAGTTTTTGAGAAAATCGGCTTTAAAAGTTTACCGGCAATTTCACCGGAGAAAATTTTACATTTTGAAAAAGCTGACCTCACCATCAAAAAGCCGAAGCAATTTTAATCGAAATGATGTATTATATTTTCTAGATGCATTTAGCTTTGACAGTGACTTATAAATTTAGCGATTCGACTTAATAATGACACGCTGTGTGACACTGGGAAAGTTGACGTGAAATGCCCCATTTTTTCTATATTTTATAAGGTTCCGTATTATCATTAAAAATCTATTTTCGTTGAACAAAGCAGTTTTTAAGCTCTAGACTTCAGTGGCATGACTAAAGAATTCTAAAAAATTCGAGTAATCGTTTTTTGGGTTAAGAATTAAGGTAAAAATATTCCGGTCTGCTGTATGAAACCATTTCACTGAAAGAGCGGTCGTTGGCTCAGTGGTTAGCGTGCTAGCCTCAGAAACAATAGGCTGCTCGAGGAGCCTTGGGTTCAAATCCTGGTGAGAACAATCGGATTTGTCCTATTGTCATTCGGCAGGATGAAAACCCATGTGCTCCGCCTGTCTCGGGGCGGGTTTTCCTCTGGAGGAGGAGGAGGAGGAGTGTGTAGTGCATATGCACTACGTATACCCCCAGGTTTCCCCTACCCCACAGATCTTCAGGCCTGGGCAAATGCGAGACTGTAGGGAGGGGGGTAGTTATCTCTTTTTGCGCACAGGCTCCAAGTCTCCTGCAGGCCCTTCTGAGAATAAGGTGTCTAATAAAGAGAGAGGAAAAAAAAATTGAATCATTCAAATATTGAATGATTTTATCTGAAGGCCTGAAGTACTCAAAAAATTTTTTAGTACCTATTACTTCTTTTCAACTTTTTGTCAACTAATAACTGAAACATTACAGGCAAAGCTATTGGATTACCAAGCGATTTTTTGTACTTCAGCGATGGTAGTCGAGGTGGGGGTGTTCTTCAGGTTGGTAATTATTTTCAACTCATTATAATCATTAACCACTAAGCAAAAAAAATTTTTTTGTGTCGTAATTTTGCTTGATACTCCAATTTTCATGAGAAAAGGTTGTTGAAAAAATATAAAAATTAATTTGCAGCTACTGCAATAAATAAGAATGTTTGAAAAATAGTTATTTATGTAACAAGTGCCCAAAAGGCGTTTTTGGGCACGAGTGTGTGGAAAAAGACACGAGTGCCGGCCATGCCGGCACGAGTGGGTGTTTTTTCCGCACACTGTGCGCAAAAAGCTGGGCACGTGTTGCATACAAAATTTTATGCAATAGTAGGCGAAAAATACGTTCATTTAAATGAGGCGTTTTACCGCACACCCGTGTCCAAAATGAGGCATTTTACCGCTCACCAGTGTCGAAATGAGGCATTTTACCGCACACAAGTGTCCAAAAGCGCTTTTTGCGCACTAAAAAATGTGCGAAAAAAGACATTTTTGGTCTTACTGTTGCATAAAATACTTTTTTGTACCACCCCAACCTAAAGTAACACTTTTCTCCCGCTGAGCGAAATGAAAATGTTACTTTTGGCTGGGGGATTCACAAAAAATTGTATTTGCACCTATGTAGCGAAAAAAGAAAGTCTCAGAGCATGTGTGTACAATCGTTCGGCTAGACTCACACGTTTACCTGTAACGAGGAAATAGAAGGGTGTGCCGAAATAAGAATATGTAATCGCTAGTTAATAATTATAGACCGGTAGATAACGATTTAAAAATCAGTTGTGTGCTGATTTTTAAACTTATGCCAGTGGGAAGGATGATATTTCGAAACTCATAGAATACATAAAAAAAATGGCATAAGTGACACTAGGAGATATAAAAATCTAGGCTATACGAAAGATGTGAACGATTTTTAACCCGAAATATTGTACAACTTTCGTAGAGTCTAGATTTTTATGTCTACTAGTGGCACTTATGCCATTATTTTTTATGTATTCTATGAGTTTCAAAATTTCATGTCTTCCATTGCCATAAGTTTAAAAATCCGCACACAATCGTGGGTTCTTATGACCATATCGATCTACACCAAAGGACACTAACAAGGAGACCACATGAGATGCGGGTCACCAAATGTCCTGAAAATTTTTTTCTGATCTCCTGGTATCTAATAATAAAACCTTCTATGCTTAGATTGATCGAATTAGCCTTAGGTCCCATTTTAAAAATCATTTTCTAGTCAATAGAAAAATCGTTGTGATTTTCTAACTCGTGATAGGACATATTAAACGGAAAATTGCACAATGTACAAGTCTTAGAATTAGTCAAAGAATACATTTGAATTTTTTCAGAATTTTTGAAACCTACTCTCACTTATTTTCAAAGCTCTCTGGAATTCTTAAGAAAAAAATAAAAACGCGTTCAATTTGGGCCTTTGAAAATAGGTGATAGCAGGTCTCGAAAATTCCAAAAAAATTCAAATGTATTCTTTGACTAATTCTAAGACTTGTACATTGTGCAATTTTCCGTTTAGTATGTCCTATCACGAGTTAGAAAATCACAAAGATTTTTCAATAAACTAGAAAATTATTTTTAAAATGGGCCCTAAGGCCCATCGGATCAAACTAAGCATAGGGGGCTTTATTATTAGATATCAGGAGACCAGAAAAAAAATTTCAGGACATTCCGTGACCCGCATCTCATGTGGTCTCCTTGTAAGTGCTCTTATGCTTAGCTAGATAAAGACTCGATCAGTGCCAAATCATCATCTTTTAATATTGGCATAATTTTTTGAGCTTGTTATCGATGTAGTATAACATCGATAACTTCTAGACATTCCAAAGACATAAGTGGAAAAATCAGCACCTATTATCAGTGACTATCTGCCGGTCTATTAGGCTTTAGTTTATTAAAATGGGCGCCACTGCTGTGACGCCTAAGAAATCAAGAATTACAAATACATATGCTTAAAAATAATATTTCTGATTTACGTTACGGAAACGTTATAAATAACCCCGTACGAGTATTAACGTGACTTCGGGCCACCGCAGCTAAAGTCAGTAGACAACGACGGTCGTAGGGACAGGTCTATACGGGGAAAAGTCGAAAGAGATTGAGCTTATCAATTATAGAAAAGAGGCGCACAATGATAAGAGAGATTCAGATGACTAACATTACGTAGATTCAGATGGTTGATTGGAAGGAGAATTATACCAGATAATGACTCCACCACAGCAAGGGCAGACGAGAAGGCAGCCAGATGTCAAGTTCACTATGTGGAACCATAGTCACACTTTCGCACGCACAAGGATAGGTTACGACGACAATGGGTGTTGCGTCACGCGCAGTCCCATACAGAGTTATCCTCTCTGCGTGCTACCACTACCCATAGGTCAGTGTATGGCCGCCTTATTACTGACAGGTTTTCGTCTGCTAATTAGGCAGCGCGCGCTCGACTTTTCGACTCTTGCATCATCGATCGCGTCTCTCTCACATTCGTCGCGTATCGAAATAAGACGCCGATTCGCATACCACTAGACCATATAAACCTAATCTATGTTTTTTCACCACCCTTGTTTGAAAAGTCAAGAAAAGGATTATGTATGGGTCAAAATAATACTTTTTTTAATTTTCGTCCGCACGTATATCACCAATCTTGACGCGCTTTTAATATGTTATAGTACATGATAAAAAAATGGCAAAAACAAAATTATGGACCCCCTCCCCCCACCTATCCCTTCCGGTATAGACGTCTATTTTCTATCTTTATTTTTTCTGAAGGTCTGAAGCAATTAAAAAATCTGAAAAAATTCACAAAAATACGAGTACTTCAGGCCTTAAGAAAAAATCATTAAAAATTTTGAAATTCATATAAGGCGTTAGAATGCAATAACTTTTTCGAACATTTTTTCACTTTTTTATTTCATTAAAAAAAGTAACCTCAAATTTTTTTAAATTTTTTCAGACATTTGAACGCACCTTTTGAAGCCAAAACCCGATTTTTTTGACGAAAATAATTTTTTTAGGACGATACGGAGCCTCGAGAAATCTGAAAAGACTTTTCTCTTGTTTTTTTATCAAGATACCCAACACGTGTACTAGTGACGAGCATCGACAAATTGGTTTGAATGGCTAAGACTCAAGAAAGACTCAAAAGTTGCTAACAATAAATTAAAACAATAAATTACAAACAATACTAGAGAAGATCTCTACGAGGCTTGAATAAGGGACAGCCGACTTAAGCTAAGAATTTGATGAAAGTTAATAAGAACTCAAAGAAAAGTGTTGCCACGCTTGCAAAATGAACGATCACATGGTATGTGAAATAAAATTAGTTGTCTCCTAGTGCTGATATCTCAATGATGTAGTGCTGGGAGATTATTAAACTCGGCTTGATGCTAAGGAACGTAAGTTCTGAGGTCAGTCTCCTCCCCTTTACTCGGGCTCCTGTTTGCCATGTGGTGAATACAGGGGTGAGTAATTTAGTGGTTGGGGATAATTAATTACCATTGCCCTGAACCCCTAATGACCGCTTGAAGCGCTGTTATAGAGACTCCCACTGGAGTAATGGTTAACAATCGTTCTAGTGGAATGTCTGATTCTATGAGGCTATTTGCAGAGTTTTTTTGCGAGCGTGGTCTCGACTCACACTGCATTACATTTTATTTGATTTTTATCTCGTACATGCCAAGTGTAATCATGTGCACTCATGCAGCAGAAGCCTAGTAGGCCTACGTTTATACGAAGCATGAATTATATTATATGCGCTGTAATTTGATCGAGTAAATCGCATGAAGAGAGAGAGAGAGGCAGAGAGAGAGAGAGAGAGAGAGAGAGAGAGAGAGAGAGAGAGAGAGCTACACGACGCCACATAGAGGCTACAAAGTCATAAGAGTCGACACACATTTATGATTGTTGACATAATGTGAGACGAGACTTTCACTCGCAGAGCACTAATTCTGGTGTCAACCCTACAGTAAAAGAAACACTAGTTTCAACAACAGCTGCTGACTGCCTTTTTAGAAACGATCCCTCTTAAATTTTAAATGGCAAAAATTACTGGTCAGGGCGTTCAGGAATTGGCAAAAAAGAAAGCTTTTCCATCAAAAAACTACAAGGCGCTCCCTCGAGATCAGAGAATATAGCCATTGAACGAACTGATGGGTCTGAAATACACGTTGACCAACAACAGCTCGAGCAAGGTACTCATTACCAATCTCAAGTAACTCGGAACAACTCGGAACAACACAAATAACTCTCAAAAAGGACTCAAAACGCTACTAGAAAACAACGTAACTGGCATGACAGGGCGTCTAATATTTTATGAAAATTGTGGAAAATTAATCATCTCGGCTCTCAATTTTTTCCATTTTTTAAAAATATGACCTGTCCTTTAAAAAGAGTACCGGTTACCAGTGTAAAGAAGAGGAATAACAAGGTGCTGAATTTGGTGAGAAAAAACTAAATTTTAGATGGTTATTATTTATTCTATAATGCAAGATGAGTCACTCACCTACTGACTACACTTATTCTTACTCCGAAAGTAATTAAAAACTAGCGAATTACCTCGCTCGCTCACGCTCACTCGGTATAGTCAGGGTTTTGTGAGCATTTTTGAAAAAGCAAGAAATATAAAATAGGTTTCCACAAGGTATATACTACATATATAGAATGTATATACCTTGGATTTACAAGGCATGTACCATATATATCTATTACTATATAGTAGAGAGGATGTGGTTCCCTTGCTCCCCAAAATTTCCACCTGCTCCCCCACAATTTTTTCAAAAATGTGAAATTCACGTGATTTTTACATGATTTTCCGTGTTTTTCTCCGTATAAATTATTACTGCTCCCCCACTGCTCCCCAAAAATTCCACTGCTCCCCACTGCTCCCCCACTGCTCCCCCACTGCTCCCCCACTGCTCCTCCACCGTAAATCAACAGGATATGCGACAGGTATTTTTATAACAATAACGTATATCACGTAT